CATATATTGATGGTGTTGGCTCTTCCTCTTTCTTCCTCTACCACTTGTATAGGGTAGTGTGTTTCTGGTAATCTTTACAATTTTAGTACCTGGATTACAGAATATCAAGATGGGATTGTGATTACAGAAGTGACCATCAGCCAGACTCCCAGGGGTAAGAGCTGAATGAAGTTAACTGTGGGGCTTTGGGTTTTTTGTTTTCAAGAAAAGGATGAGAACATTCTTATTTGATTGAGATACATTTGCATTAGGATGGGCAATAACATGTTGTGGTTGCTTTTGGAAGTTTAAGATGGAACGTAGGATGGGCATGTATGTTGAGGAACTAAGGAGTGAACTGTGGCAAATACTGAAGGCCAAGCCTATTCAGCACCCCTCCAAACCCCCTTCCATCATAACTGCTTCTACTTTAGAAGTTAGATGGCTAGACTCTCTTGCAGCTAGGATTTCCATGCCACCTGGCTTCTGCCAGGAATGTGCAACTGAACCAGCAATGGCAGGTAGAACGGAGCGCGGGGAGGAGGTGGTTTTATGGTTCTTCTGGAAGCACTCTGGTGGAGGTGTTTCGGTTCTCTCAGGCAGCTGTGGTGGAAGCCCTAGTGCCAGATCCTTTCTGAGTTTGTTGGTGCTGAGGAGGAATGTCAGCCGCTTCCTACTTTGGCACCTTTCCTGACTGCAAGTTGGACAGGGAGGCTCCTGAGTCAGCAGGGGTGGAAACTGTGGCAGAAGTTTCTCTTTAGGCAAGTTTCGCAATGACATTGAGGGGCTATTCCTGGACTTTGGGGGGTTATTACTGGAATAGAACCTGCTTCTCATCCCTCCTAAAGAGTCGGAAACCTACCGATTTACCTTTTAAATCTGCCAGGTGGGATATTTTGTCTGCAATGGAACCCTGACTAATTTGTTGTACTTTATTTTGTTGTCTTTCCCCACTCTTTATAAAACTGAGATGTACTCAACATAGAGTGTTCTCTTAGTTTCAGATATATGACATAATGATTTGATTTTGTATATATTGCGAAATGATCACCACAATAAATCTAGTTGACATCCCTCACCACACATAATTACACTTTTTTCTTTTGTGTGGTGAGAACTTTTAAGATCTTTCTCTTAGGAACTTTCAAAAATGCAATATAGTATTAACCACAGCCACCATGCTGCACATTATGCCCCTAGGGCTTTTTTAAAAAAGATTTTATTTATTCACTTTGAGAGAGAGGGGAAGGGAAGTAGAAAGAGAGGGAGAGAAACATTAGTGTGTGGTTGCCTCTCAAGGGCCCACACTGGGGACCCGACCCACAACCCAGGCAGGAACCCCAAAGGAAATTCAACTGGAGAACCCTTGATTCACAGGCTGACACTCAATCCGCTGAGTGTGACCAGCCAGGGCCCAGAACTTATTTTAGAGTTGGAGTGTGTACCTTTTGATTCCCTTTGCCCATTTTGCCCTGCTCCACCCTTGCCCCCATACCTGGCACTCCCCAGTCTGTTCTCTGCATCTACGCGCTCACGAGGCCTGGCTTTCCTGCATCCGCCCATTCGCTCTGTCACCATGCTCTGCGATACCGTTAAAATACTTAAAACTTCTTGAATTCAGCCACTTCTCCCCACCTTCACCACTAAAACTCTTTGCCAAGAAACCACCAGTCCCTAGCTGGACCTCTAACTAGTTCTCCTTCTTCTCCTCTTCCAATTCTATCCTTTCAAGGGTGGCCTGAGTGAGCTTCCGAAAACACCAGCATTCCAGAAGTTTCCATCACTTAAGATGGAAGCCAAAGTCTCCACCAGGACTTAGATGGCCCTGCCCACCTCGCTGGCCTCCTGCCCTGCCAGTGTCCTGTCACCCGCCCTCCCCATCAAACCTGCCAAGCTTGTTCTCACCAGTGGATCTTCGCACAGGCTGTTCTGCTCCTGGGCCTCTCTTCCCTGGGGCCCTCAAGTGGCACCTCCTTTGAGAGCCTTTCCTGCCTGCATCTGCACAGCACTCTCTCCCCTCACCCTGCTCACTCCCCTCAGAGCCCTTATCACTATCTGATGACATTAGTTACCATTTTCCTGTCTGTCTGTCTAGAGTGGCAGGTGGATGTCTACCTTGTATCTTGGGCTCCTAGATGAGTGCCCAGCACACAGCAGAGGATCAATAAAACACACGTGGAAGGGTGGGTTGGAGCCCTCAAGGTATAGTTCAGGGAAAACTCAGGGGCTCCAGAAGAGACCTGACCGAGACCCCTAACAGAGTTGCCCTCTTGGATGCCTGACATTAAATAACTCCCCATTGGGGTCACCTGAGCTCTCTGACATTCCTTTCCTCCCCATTTTAAGGTAGTCTGCAGAAAGTCGCCCCAAGGCGGCCCTCCCCCTCCCCGGGGCTGCATGCAGCCACTGCAGGCAGATTTAAGGCGACCTCACAGAATTCTTTCATATCAATTCACTTCACACTTGAGTAGCTACAGAAACCAAAAGGAAGGGCTCCCACAACAAAGAAACTTGGCTACAAATTATATGATAATAATATAATGACCAGATTCTCTTGCGCTGTTATTTTGAGCCAAACAAGATGCTAAATGCTTACTGTGCATTTTCTCATTCAGTCCTCAGAAACACCCCTTGAGGTCATCGCATCTGTTACTTATTGCTGCGTTACAGGCCACCTTAAACTGAGTGGTTTAAAAGAGCAACCGTTTTCTTTGCTCCTAATTCTTGACTCAGCTGGATGAGGCCCTGACTCCACTGCAGCCAAGAAGGTGATTTCCCCTGGACAAGAGGCCATCGTGGCCTTGTCACCTGTGCCCTGTGCTGGCCTCATGCCCAGGGCAGCCTGCCCCAGTCCATTTTCCCACACAGGACTTGGTTGTTTTTCACGTAAAAACACAGAAGGGAGCCTCGCTCTTTGTTCCCAATTTTGAGGGGCACACACAATTGTCAGGTAACGACTTCCGAATGTGCCCACTGTAGGACCGTCCGCCTTCCGTAGCCTTCTCATACCTCGTTGCTGAGAGGAGAAGACAAAGCCCAAAGGGGTAGAGCCTTGGCCAAGGTTGCGCAGTGTTCCGACGACCCAGGACTTCCGGCCAGGGCTCCACATCCCAGGCACCAGGAGTGCCCGTGGGTAGGAGAGTGGGCAGCCAGGGCACAAGTTGCTGAGAAGAGGTGACTTGGGGCAGGGCGGAGGGTCCAGGAGGAGGGACACTCTGAGCTCCAGCTGGAAACATGCAGTGGGGGTCAAGCGGAGGGAAGGTGGAGGCGGCAGGGAGAGGTGGCGGTGGCCTGAGGGGTCTGGGAGAGCGTCCAGAGAAGGGCTCTGGTCCTGCCTTTGAGGGTGAAAAAAGAACATCCTAACTTGTCACACCTGAGTCGTTTCAATTCTTACAGGACCCCAACCCTCTCCCCGACCTCTGGGAAGCTGGCAGCCGGCCTCTCTTCGGGATCCAGGGCCACCAGCCTCTGCGGCCCCGATGTAGCAGAGGTACCGACTGGTGTGGATGCTGCAATCAGTGGACCGGTGGTCAGGGGACCTGGGCTACATCAAGGAAAATCTTATTTATTTATTTACTTATTTTTAGAGAGATGAGAAGGGAGGGAGATAGAGAGGGAGAGAATCATCAATCAGTTGCCTCTCATATGCCCCCAACTAAGGACCCAGCCTGCAACCCAGGTATGGGGCCCTGACCAGGAACCAAACTGGTGACCTTTCGGTCTACAGGCTGAGCTCAATCCACTGAGCCTCACCAGCCAGGGCTCCATGAAATAAAATCTTTACTAAGCACCTACTACATGCCCGGCACTGCCCTCAGCAGGCAAAGGGTTTGTCTCGACCCTTTGGAAGGGAGCTTCTAGTCTAATGGGGGAGATTGCTATTGAAGAAGTAAACAATCACACGATCAGAGTCTCTTCAGATAATGACAAGCACTGTGAAGGGAACAGACAGAGCAGTGGGACAGATGACATTAGTTTGAATTGGGGGGGCGGGTGAGGAAACAAGGGGGGACTCTCTGAAGAGATGACATCTGAGCTGAGATCTGTGTGTGAGAAGGAGGCAGCCATGCAAAAATCTGACAGGAGCGAGATTCTTGTGTAGGAAATGGCAGGTGCAAAGGCCCTGAGGCAGACATGAGATTGGAGTGTTTGGGGAGCCCCAGGGCAGGAGGCAGGATGTAAAATGAGCCTCCTTCCCTTTGCCTTTAATTCTCTCTGGGATTTGAATACATCTCATCTCCTTGTTTCATCCCCAAATTTTGGGCATCTCTGAGTTTAAATAAACATTTCTTGAATCTATTGCTATTTAACAGCTTTTGTAGAAAGGAGAGGACATTGTCCTGGGTATGAGAAGACCTAAACTATGGCCCTAGGTTTTCCAGTAACAAGCTGTATGACCTTGGACAAATCCCCCTTCTTATCTGTAAACCAGGGGACTGGACCACAAGTCTCAGCGGGTTTCCTGCTGAGACATCCCAGCACCAGGAATTCATGCAGCTCCTCTCGAGCCTGTTGTTTTCAGCCCACATGTGGATAAGCTCAGCATACCTCTGCTTTTTCTTCCAGGCGGTGTGGCCTGGAGATCTGTGTAAAGCAAGCATCTATCAGATGCTTTTAAAGACACAAGACAGACCTGGCTGGTGTGACTCAGTGGATAGAGCGCCGACTGGCGAATTGAAAGGTCACCACTTCAATTTCCAGTCGGGGCACATGCCCGGGTTGTGGGCCAGGTCCCCAGCTGGGGGCGTGCGAGAGGCAACTGACAGATGTTTCTCTCCAACATCAAATTGCTCTCCCTCTCTTTCACCCTCCCTTCCCCTCTCTCTCAAAAGTAAATTAAACAAATCTTTATAAAAATTACAAGACAACCCAAACATACATTAACAGAGGATGGTCATATACATCATGCAGCTGTTAAAAGAAGAATGAGTTAGGTTTACGTCTACTGAGCGGGAGGGAAGCATGCGATGTAAGTGAGAATAAAGCCAGGTGCAGAGTGGGTTTGAGAATGATTCCACTTTAGCTTTGCGCAGTGGCAGTATCGTAGCCAATAAGGTTTATCCGAGGCGCGATTATTGCTAATTGAGAATGACTCCATTTTTGTGAAACCAAACGACAAAATCTCTGTATGTGTGTATGCGGGTTGGTTTATTTCACAAGTAAGGCAACAGGAGGGAGAGACCGAACCCCAGTCTGTAACACTAGTTACCCAGAAGTGTGTGCGTGCTGAGGTGACGGGAGAACAGAGGGGTACTAGGGAAGAGTATTAATTTTTTCTTATATCTTTGTTGTTTCACTGGTTGCAAATAAAAATGTGTTGCTTTTATGACCCTGGAAGAAGAATTTAATACATCTCTAAGAAGCCAGACTGCTAGGCCACCCGTCCTTGCAGACACCTCCTTCCACGGACAACGGGCCCAGCTCCGTGGGGACTGCTCGACGCCGCGGCAAGTCAGCCCCGGCTGTGCTTCCCCTAAGGACAGCAGGAGCCTTCCCTGGGGTCACACTGCCACCCTGGCCTGCAAGTCAGTGGAATTAGGCAGAGTGGTGGGCGCGATTCAGGCCCCCGAGTCTTCGGCCCTTTGGAGACTGAGTGAGTGAGTGCCCACTTTGATCTTATTGGACAGTCCTTCCTGTTTCCAAAGGCTGCCAAACGGTCACCTCTGAGGCCAGCTTCGGTGGCTGGAGATGCACTGGAGCTGTCGGGGGCCTGTGCCTACGACACCGCACGCACAATCCCAGTGCAAGGAGCAGCTGCTCCAGCCTGCTCTTCCCAGGCCTGCTCCAGCCTGCTCTTCCCAGGCCTGCTGTAGCTTCAGGGCTGCTGCGGCTGCAAGGTCCTGGGGTATCCGGGCCCTGTCTCTGACTGCAGACGAGATGCACCGCTCATCCCTCAGGCCCACCCTGGGGGCGGTGTGTGTGTGGGGGGCTCATTGTTTGAGCAGCACAAGCTGTTTCCTGGTCCTGTCATTCTCTCCTCCAGGAAATCCCCGCAGAGGTCTATTTAGAGCCTCGCTAGTGCTGTCTGTGCTCATTTCCTGGGCAGTGGGCTCCTTTCTCCACACAGGAGCCCCGGGACCTGGATGGTGTTGAGCCACCTCCCTCCAGCTTTCTTGTCTTAGTGTCAATAAGGAAGCAGTTGGACCCTGGCTTTTGCATCGTTTTTGAGGCTTCTCAAAGCCCTCTCGAATATCATTCCATTTGAACAGCCCGTTAGAATAGCCCCCTGAGGGGGGAATGCTGGGCATATTACATCCATCTAGCAGAGAAAATGGAGATTTGGAGGAGGTGAGTGACGCGCCAGCATCCCAGAATAAAGAAAAGGTGGTTCCAGGCCTTTGCCTCCAAGATAAGCCGACTCAGCCCATGATCCATTGTCAGAAGCGCCCCCTCCCCACTGAAGGTCTCCCAAGAAATGGGCTTAGGAGACCATAGTTCATCTAGTGGGCCCACTCTCAACTGCAGCTGAGTGACCGAGGTGGACTCGTGGTCTGGGGTGAGCACCCAGAGGCTGGGCCACACTGATCGGCCTTGGGCTCTAGCTCTTGAACGAAGGCCAGAGGCTTCGGTTAGACTGAAGAAGCGTGTGGAGTTGGGCACAGAGCCACATGCTGATCGAAGGCGCACAGGGACAGGTGCTGTGAACAGGGCAGGGAGCCACTCCACTGACAGGAGACTGGGAGGGAGGTGTGCGAGAGGCAGCTAGGGTAGAAGGCCGGGTAGCCCAGGGAGGGAGAGGACCTGGAGACTTTTGGATCCCATGAGCAGGCTGGATGTCCCACAGTCGGGCCCTGTAACAGACCCTGAAGCTTTTCAAGGACTCCCCCACGTTTTCCAGAGCTGGGGGCTGCAGCGACAGCAGGGCCAGGGCTTCCTCAGTTTCAGTGGACAGAAGCCCAACTCACACTGACTTAAGTAAAAGCTACAATTTATTGTTCAATGACCTGAAAACTTCAGGGGCAGATTTGGGCAGACCTGATGGCATCCAAGGGCTCAAGCAACGTCATAGGACTTTGTCTTGCTCTCTCTACATCCTGCTCTGCTTTTCACTGTGCTGGCCTCTGAGACCCCCTTTCCTCATGGCGGCAAGATGGCTGCCAGTGACGGCAGACGTACTCCCCACCTCTCAGCAACTTCAGCAGAAAGTAAGTGTCTCTCTTCCCAAGAATTTCAGCAAAGTCCCAGAATTAGGTTCCACTGGCTCACATCACCTTGTGTGCTCATCCTGGAACCAAGCTCTGGGGCTGAGGAGATGGGGTTGGTCAGGCCTGGATCACATGTCCTCCCTTGCAGTCCATGTATGTCACGTCATCTCTGCTAGAATCTCAGGAACCAAGAGTGGGGAACAGTGGTTTCACCAGGAGCACCAGGGCAGTGGGTCACAAGGAGAGTGTGTTGGCCAGCGTAAGCCATGGGCTGCTGCAAACAGCCCTGTCAGTGGTTAACACAATAACATTTTATTTCTTGCTCCCTTTCGTGGCAGGGGTGGGGTTCTACTTCCTGTGGCCATTCAGGGACCCAGACGGGTGGAGGCGTTGCCCTCTTCAATGCGAAGCTTCCAAGGATGTTTAGAAGGTAGGCAGGAGAATAAAACGAAGGCTATGCTTTGTGTGCTCCAGCCTGGGAATGCCAGTCACACAACCACACCTCAGTGCCGGGGTGCGGGGGGGGGGATTGGGAGAGTTGAGTTGTGTGCTTAGGAGGAAGAGGAAGCAATCTCTACCTTGAAGTGGGGGGAGGAGGAATGGGTGCTGGACAGGCAAAAACAAGGTCTACCTGAGCATCCCAGACCAGCTCAGCCCCTTTAGCTTTCTTGTCAAGGGTTCCAGCACGAGCAGTGCCGACCCAGTCTTCCCAGCTGAGGTCTCCTCTTTGATGGCTTGAGCTCCAGCTTCCCCTTAAATCCCGCACCCACCCAATGTCCCTCCCACTCTTTAGTTGAGTGGTGATGAAACTCAGTTATTCTTGCTCAGTCAACAAACCTATATGTGCTTTATGGACAGGCCGGAAGTGGCACAGAAGGAGAGAGAGGACAGTTCTGGCTCTGAGACTCGCCAGATTTGTATGTCAGCCCCCTCAATCCTTTTCAGCTGTCCTTCACTGGGGACCAGCTGGTCCCTAAGCCAGCAGCATCTTCCTTGTCTCCATAGCTTATAGCTAAAGGCAGGCAGGGCTAGGGGCGAGGGGGAAGCAGATCCATCATTCACAAAGGAATGGCATCCCAGGTTTCTGAAGACCTGGGCTGGGGAGGCGATATGCCAACATTGCAGCCATTCATTCATTCATTCATTCATTCACCTCTGGGTGCTTTACTATGTGCCAGGCATTGTGCTGGGTGCTAAAATGCAAAGGATGTACAAAAAGCATAAGATATTGGGTCTAATGTAGTGTTAAGGTGATCAGGCTTAGGTCAGTTGACCAACTAGAGACAAAAATAAGACAACCCGTAGTTGCATCTATGACCGTGATTTAGAGCATGAATGGCACTTCAGGCACATGGCCACCCTGGGGCAGGAACAAGCAACATATTTAGCGTCTCAGAGACCAGGCACCCGATCTTGCCATCCCAGAGCTGTCAGTTAGGGGAGCTCTCGGTAAAATGATAATGACAAACACAACAGTAGCAGCTGTCCCCTACAGGGTGCATCAAGCACTGGGCTAAATCAGTTATCCAAATGCATTGCCTTACTTTATTCTCCCAAATAACTGTGTAAGGTCTAGACTCATCTCTCCCTGTTTTTACAGTTGGAAAATCAAGGCCTTCAGAAGCCTGTTCAAAGTTACACAGCCATCAAGTGGCAGCGCTGGGACCGGCATTCAGGTCTGTCTGAGGCCCAAGCCCAGCCAGGTCAGACCGCCTGAGGGTTAGAGGCTGCAGCTGTCGGGCGGCCCTGCTGCTGCCTGGCTGTGCATCTGGAGGGTGGTCACTGCCAGGAGCTGCTCTGTACTTTGAGTATCAGCCCTGTGCTGGGGGCTGGACAAGTTCAGAGAGTGGGAAGGCCCTGTCCTGGGGCTTTGGAATGCCCAAACCGACCCTGCGGACAGAGGCCTCAGTTTCCTCCCCGGCCTCGTCTCTTAGGTCATAGGTTTTTCTCCCTAAGAATAGCCCTCCCTCTGAACAGGGCGTCTGAGGATAGCTCTTCAGCATCTCCAGGCAGAAGCTTGGCAGAGGGAATGCTCCTCCACCCACTTACTTTCCTGTTTCATCACGGCCCTTCCATCTGGCTCATTCATTCACATATTCATTCAACAAATTATTGAGCACCGACTCTCTGCCCTGCCTTGGTCAAGGTACTGGAGGGGGTAGGAAAATGAAGACGGATCAGTATGAGAGGCGAAACACTTACATAAAAACGGTCATCCCAGGTGAAACATGAGGACCACGGGGGAAGCACAGGCCACATCTTGTGTGAGTCTGGGAGGAGGGGTCATCCCCCAATTTGGCAGGAGTGAGAAGGGGGATGCATTAAGGAAAGATTCAGAGGCGGAATTTGAGCTGGGCCTTGAAGAGAGGGTTGGGTTTGACAATGCATAGCCAAAGCGAAGGACATTGCAGGTCATCGAATAGCACAAGCCCAGCAGCGGAGCACACAGCACTGTCTGGGGAACTGGGAGCAGGTCCCCGTGTGAAGGGAAGCAGTGGGAGCCAGGATGGCGCTGGGGGGCGGGCCAGCCGGTTTTATCTGTGAGCTGTGCGCTGCAGCTCAGGTTGCACCAGCCACAGCCTAGCCCTTCTGGAGTCGGATCAAGAAACCTGAAAATTGGCCCCAGAGGTCCGGGGAAGAGTCTTGACCCCAAGTGCCTGGCCTAGTCAGGGACACACTTCCCGCATTGTCCTGCACTGCCCACTGTTCTTGGTAAGCCCTCCATTGCCATGGTTACACCCTCCAACATTCTATCTCAGGCCGTCAGCCCGATGAACCTAAACACAAATGGCATCAGGGCTGGAGGGGAGGTTTAGAGAGCGCGCCACCCAGTGATTAAAACTTAAAAAGGAATATCTGGCCTGGCCGGTGGGGCTCAGTTGATCGAGCACTGTCCCGCAAACCAAAAGTTAGATTTCTGGTCAGGGCACATGCCTGGGTGGCGGGTTCGGTCGCTGGTTGGGGTGCCTACAGAAGTCAACCGGTTGATGTTTCTCTAGTGTATTGACATTTCTCTTCCTTTCTCCCTCCTCTCCCGTCTCTCTAAAAAGTAAAATAAAAAATTAGTCCTGGCTGGTGTGGCTCAGTGGATGGAGTGCCGGCCTGCGAATCAAAGGGTTGCCGGTTTGGTTCCCAGTCAGGGCACATGCCTGGGTTGCACGCCAGGTTCCCATGTTAGCAGGCACACAAGAAGCAATCACGGATTGATGTTTCTCTCCCTCTCTTTCTCCCTCCCTTCTCCTCTAAAACTAAATAAATAAAACCACACACACACACACACACACACACACAAATGAAGCTTTAAAAAAATTTAAAAGAAAAGACATATCTGTAGGATCCCATTATTTAAAGAGAATTACAGGAACCCCAAAGAGTAAACGGAGAAGCTGCTGCACTGAAAGCAGGCTGAGGGGCCCTCATTCCACCGCCCATCGCTCCCACAGCAGCTCCAAGGGCACCTGGGGAATCTCGGATGCATAGGAACACAGTTTGAAAACCACTGGTCCACCTCCCCCCAGTTTTCCTTTTACAGGTGGGGAATCCGAAGCCAGGAGAAGAGACAAAAGAGGACCAGACTTCCTGACCAATGGTTCAGGGCTCTTGATTTTGGTCTAAGATCAGGGAAGAAAACCAGACTAAGGGTGGAGATCGTGGTGGGCATGGTTTCCCGGCTTCGGTCCCCCCTCTCTTGGTAGCAATGGTGCCCAGGGCCTGGTGGATGAAGCAGCCCCAAACACCCCGCTCTGTGGCCTGGTGGCGGTTGGCACTGTGCTGGCTCACCGGTGGCTTATCTCACTCTCAATCCACTGGGGGAGGGAAGCTGGACCAGGTCCCCTGCTACCAGGGAGCGGGGAGTCCGGAGAAGGCACCATAAAATTCTAATCTACAGAGAAGGGCTCTCTGGGTAAAAGGGTTGTTCTCCACGTGTGCTGGGCATTTTATTATTTACCAAAGCATTTTCAAAGGCTAATTTGGTCTAATTTTTACAATCAGTCTGCAAGGCGGACATTCTCCCCATTTTACCATTGATAAAGGTGAGGCTCAGAGAGACTGAGTGAGTTGCTCAATGTCACACAGGTGGCAGGAGGCGGACAATCCTCTCACCCGAGCCTTCTAACTTGGGGACTATGGAGCATTGGGTGAGTGAGAGAAGGAGGGAAGTGGCTGTGTGTGTGTGTAGCTGTGTGTGTGTTTGGGGAGGCCGCCAGAGAAAAGTGGAGAGCAGGAGCTGGGGCTGGGAGCACGGCTGGGAATGATCTGACGGAACTGCTCCTTTAATCATATGCATGTCACTTGAGACTGTAGGAGCCACAAGGAAGGGACCCCTGGCCCCGTGCCTACCTCAGTGCCTGTCCCAAGGCAGGCACCTCCTAAGTATCTGCGGCACAAGCCTGATTAACGAGAGCATGCTTGTGACCTTGTTTCTGGGCGAGGTTGTTTCAGACACCATGGCTGGCTTGCCCACAGCCCATCCTCCCCTCTTGGGTCTGACATCTCACCACTTCCTTTTCTCCTGCAAATGTGGAGAAGCACCGACAGAACCCCTGTCAGCAAGTAAAGGGGAGCCAGGACCGTGCAGGGCATCCTGTGCGGTGGGTCCTTGCCTCCCCTCCCCACCCTGGGCATGTGGAGTCAAGCCCAGCTTTTCCCTTCCAAGTCCCCTGACCCTGCCTGGGTTCCAGCAGGTGAAGGCGCAGTGGCACCCTCTGTTCCAGCACCTCCCGGAGACAGGACAATCGTCATCACTGGTGATTGCAGAGGCCACTCGTCTGGGCTCCAGATAACTCTGGGATCAGTGCCCAGCTCAGCACCAGAATAAAGAAGATATCCAAGCTCAAGATGCACACTGTCCCAAAGGTCTGGACAGATTTCTCCAGCTCCTCTGAAAAAGAATACGTGTTATACACTCTGTTTCCTGTCAGGCCCGAGGAGACACACCATATAACACAGGATTTGCTACACGCAGGAATCTTCTCAAAGATGCAGAGCCGATGAGAAGCCCCCTGCCCAGCGCTCTCTTCTGCCAAATGTCCCAGAGACACTTGCATCTGAGTGGCCAGGAGGAGAGACATCCTGGGAGACTGAGACAGACAGTCGCACCCCTCCAGGGCTTGACACATGTGATCTGCAGACAAGGCGCCTGCTACTGTCCCGTTTCCTGACATCAAGGGAACAGCTTCCTGGTGGCAGCCCCCCTACCTCCCCAACCCTGGGATCCAATGCCAGCTGCTAAAGGGGCCTCTCCCTGGGGTCTCCTCCTTCCCTTTAGGGTCCTGATGATAATCTCTTCACCCCCAGTAGGCCTGGCATCAAACACAACACAGGAATGATGACAAGGCTGAAAAAGCAGGTCCACTTTATTTACAATGATCAGTTGGTGACACATAGATCTTTGGGCTTTTTGTGGCCTTGTTGATAGACACCTGGGCAGGGGCCCGCTCCCTCTGTTGGGATAATGTGCCCTCCTTCCTCATCCTGCTTTGAGAATCCAGCTGCTGTTGGGACCCTCCTGCTCTGACAAACCTTGACGTGGGGCCATCCCTCCTGTGTCCACTTTCTGGGTAGCCAGTGTCCCCAAGCACCTGCCAAAGGCTCTTCCTTACCTCCTCTGGAGGCCCTGTCCCGGTCCTGGCTGTGGGGCACCGAGAGGGAAAACACACACACCTGCCTGCAGAGAGAGGGGGTGGATGAGGAGTCCTGTGGGGTTGCCAGGTGCCAGGGCACAGGCTTGATGCAAAGAACTGTTACCTGGCCTAACCTGCTGTTTGGGTTGGTAGGACCATCCTAATCGTCTCCAGAGGCCGAACAATAGAGTCCCAGAAGTCCTCCAAGGGCTAGAGGGGCCAGGCATAGGGCCTGAGAATTCTTCCTTACTGTGTGGCAGCAGACTCCGTTTCCCCCCTGAGCCTGGCCTCAGTTCTCGAGGGCCACTGTTCTCCCCCTACAAGAAGGCCACGCCAGGGTCGGTCTCATCCCAGGGAGAAAGGCTAGACTGGCCAAGCGCAGGGCCACTGTTCCACCTGGCCAAGGTCCAAGGCCACCCTGTTGGGTTTCTGGAAACCTCCCCCCTTCTTCTGAGAGGATGTTTTGGGTCTATCAAAGAGACTTGGTGTAAAGCGTAGGAGGCGGTTCCACAACGGAGGGCGCCCAGAAACTCCGGATTTGGGTGGGAGAGGCGAACACTGTATACTCCTCCCCCCAATTTGTCCCCCAATAATCAAGGGCATATCAGGCATCACCCTGAGCCAGGATGAGGCGCAGAGCAGACAACGACAGAGACCACAAGGGAGGCAGGGGCCGGGGGACCGGGGAGGAGCCAAGCGGGCAGGGCCGGGGTTGGAGGCTGTAAGTCAGGCCGGCCGGATCTGGGGCCGCGAGTCCTGGGCGTCCGCTCTCAGCGCGCCTGGCCTGCCCGCTCCCTCGGGCCGGCCTTCCAGCGGCGGGGCTGTGCGGGCAGAGGAGGCGCTGGAGCGCCCCGCAGGCTGCACGTCCTCAGCTCCCGGGTCAGGCTGAGCACCTCGGGCCGCTCGGACTGGGGGGCTCCTTCCTGGCGCTCCTCCGTGTCCAGATCCTCCTCCTCGTCCTCCTCCTGGATGCTGCTGAGGCGCGGGACCCCACGGCCGCGCTCGGCTGGCGGTGGTCGGTAGGCGCACTTGGCGTTGAGCAGCCGGCGTAGCGGGGCGCGGGGCACCGAGGCAGCGGCGCCCCCGGCGCGGAGGAGCTGCTGGCGCACGTGGCGCGCGTCGCTCTGGCGCTGCAGGCGTTTGAAGTCGCTGAAGGCCGCCAGCGCGGTCTGGCGGAGCAGGCGGGCTAGGGCGCGCGCCTTGTGCGCTCGCGCCAGCAGCACGGCGTGGCAGCGCAGCACCACGGCCTTGTGGCGGGCCTGGTGGCGATAGACCCAGGCGAAGACGCGTGGGTGGCGCCCGTCCGCCGTGCAGTAGGTGATGCGCGGCAGCAGGTAGGCGTGCGTCGGCCTGCGGCCCCCCGATCCCCCGGCTGCGCCGCGCTCGCACGGCTGCATGCGGATGCCGTGCGGCCCCAGCGTCAGCTTCATCTTGGTGCCCCCGCCCGGCCCACAGCGCGCCCAGATCTTGCCCACGGCGTCGTCGGTGCAACCGTCGCCCTTGGCGTGCAGGGTGACGGCGTTGCCCAGGTACCACACGGTGTATGTCGGGTCCTCCTTGTTGAGCTCCACTTTCTGGCGCCGGCTGCGGAACACTCGGCCAAGGCGCTCCAGGGGCCAGTCGGGCAGCAGATCCGGGCAGGAGCGCAGGAAGCTGGAGAGCAGCGACGTGTAGGTGAGCCCCGGACTCAGGCTCTTCGCCTTGCACTTGGCCTCATCTTCCACCAGCACGAATTTGTCACGTCTCCAAGGCAGCATAGCGGCAGCGGCCAAAGAGGCTGGGGGCACCGGGAGCTCACGGGCGTCCTGGCCAGCGGCCGGGGGAGGGGAGGGCAAGAAGTCCACGGCTCCGGGGTCGCGAGAAGCTGGGCGGCGCCGGAGACAGTCAGTGCGCGGAGATGCCAGTGCCGGCTAGCTTCACTGATGCCCTGCGCCCAGCCGGGTTGGCAGCCGAGATGTTCGGGCGGCGGCCGAGAGTCCAGGAACAGCTTCCCCAGGGAGTCGCTCAGCCGTCCGGGAAGCAAGGAGGGGCAGGGGCTGGGCGTGGTGGAGGCGCCCCCAGGCCTGAAGAGAGGGGATCCCGCGGCCCCCGCCGCCCAAATCGAGGCGTCAGGGAGGTCTCCGGAGCCGGGGCTGGCGGGTGGCTGCTCCGTGGGGTAGTCAGAGAGCGCGACTGCGGTGGGGACTCCTTCAGGCGTCGCGGCTCCACCTCCCAGAGCTGCCTGCATCACCGGGCGGGACCGCTAGCTCTCTTGTCCCCTCCCCTTGTCGTCCTCTCCCTCCTCCCCCTCGCAGGCTAGCGCTGCTCCTTGCCCAAGACCTAGCACAGGCGCGGTAGAACGGGTTTAATCATTATTATTGGAGTTGTGGGGGTGGAAGGGGCGGCGAAGATAGGAATCTCCTGAAATCTACGGAGGGCTTTGCCAATGCAAATTTCTCTGGCCTCACCGGTGGTCTCCAATCTCCCCTCGCCACAGTAGGGACCCCTCTCCTCTCTTTCTAGGATTCCACCTTGCCACTCAGCACGATATGTCCTTACCCCATTTCTAAGAGTGATTTTGGGTGGGTTCCTGATGGGGCCAGCCTGGCTCATTTTGCCTCTTGTCTGCACAGCAGAAAGCCAGCTGAGGTGGCCTGAGCAATGCAGTGGAAAAGTACTGTCGCCTGGTGAAGCTTTCTCCCAGGTTCTTCCAAGGTCGTGGGCCAGGCAGCTTTGCCTGAGCTGGGAGGCCAAGTCACTGCTCCAGCAGTTGGTAATACTCCTTGCCTGACACCAAGCAGGGAGGGTATCCTTTGAGGGTGGGGAGACTTCCACAGCACTTCAAGGGGTCTGTGAGCATAGCAGATGAAAGCTCCTCCTTTCGCCCTGGGTGATGTGGCCCAGTGAGTTGAGTTCTGGCCTGCCTACTGAAAGGTTGCTGGTTCGATTCCCAGTCAGGGCACACGACCTCAGCTGGGTGCCTCAGAGAGGCAACCGACTGATGTATCTCTCAGGCCTTGGTGTTTCTCTCCTTCTCTAAAAATAAAGAAAGGAAGAAAGAAAATTTCCATAAAGCTCGTTTCTGTCCATTCTCCAGAGGACATTATCTCATTTAATCCTCAGGACAGCCTGGCCTCAGTTAAGTGACTTGCCCAAGGTCCCAAGGCTGGTTGGAGGTAGTACGAGGGCTCCTAGTAGACTTGGGTGACCCAGGGGTGGGCCCTCTCTCTCCTGGGATTCCACCTTATGCTGCATGTGGATGGGGCATTATCCGTCCTCCCTGGGAACCTCCCAATGAGGTGCTCTTGTTAGGGAGAGGGTCTAGAGTGCTTGGAAAGAGACAGTTGTCCCTGAGTGTGGGGACACACCTCCCCCTTGTAGGATTTGTTAAGGTCCGCTCTGCTGGGGGCCCAGGAGTCACCGCAGTGAGCTCTCACCTAAGCCCTTTCCTTGGCTTCAGAACAGGTCATCTGTGGAGCCCCCAGGCCAGGAGTGGTCGGTCCTAGAGTCGTGGACCTGGCCACATCAAAGCAAATGCCCCGGGAGAGGGGGGCAGGGCTGTGCTTCACAGTGGGGCAGAGCAAACGGTCAGAGCAGAGGGCCTGAGCAGTGAGTGAGCAGCGAGGCTCAGTCCCTGGGCAGCAAAAACAAAAAGCCCACAAAAAAGCTGCATAACTGAATGCTTCTGAAATGACGTGCAAATAAAGAGCAAGAAATGACATAGAATTACAGAGTCTTATCTTTGGAAGGGCCACACAGATTTCTGGCCCACTGCAGCCTTCCTTTATTTCCAATATAGGAAATGTCTTTAGTGCCTTTTGCTGATTCTAAAAGTGATATGTGCTTGTGGTAACAATCGCACAAGAAGGACATGGAAGCCTCCCTCGGCTCTCACCCCGCAGGTGTAGACGTGACCTCACTTGTCCACAAGAGAACAGGCTCTGAGAAGCACAGTGATCATTTGAGTGCTTTTCATGGTGCCAGGTTTGCCTCTGGGGGCTCATGAAGACATAACTCAACCAGCTCCCTTTACAGAAAGGAGGTGGGGCGTTTTTTGACACGAAGGACAATTCATTGAAAAATCCTGCTGTCTCTTGCCTTGGGTTGCCTAGATTCACCCTCTGGACCTTACTACCTTGGGGTTCCCCTCCCCCACAAATGGCAGGGGGCTGGTGGGAGTAGCCCACAGCAAAGTCCCAATTTGCAAGGTTGAGATAGCTCCAAACTTTTGTCCAAGACTAGCCTCCCGAGGTCGCTAGAGTTGACATATAAAGACACAGGGCACCCAGTTACATTTGAGTTTCAGATAAACAACAGTTTAGGTATGTCCCAAGTATTGCACATATTTTATCTGGTAACGAAGTCTCCTGCCTACCAGAGAATAAGAAAAAACAAGAAGCCACAGACAGACGGGTGTTGCGCTTGAGCGCCTCCTGAGGCTCGCTCCCCTAGTCCTGGTTCTGTGCTGTTCCCGTTGCTTTTGGAAGATCCTTTTTAGGGGGCAGAGGGGAGGTCACCCAGGACTGTGTCAGATCACAGTGTGCAATAGTCTATTTTTATGTTAACTGCCCTGGACCTCAAAGCCATATTTGACATTATTCGCCACTCACTTTGGCTTCCTTAGCAGGGATTCCCAGACCCCCTCCCAGCGCCGGGACCCCGCCTCACTTTGCAGACTTCCTCACACACCCTGGGCATGGCCTGCTGCTCTTCTCCTGCTCAGCTGCCTAGAAAAGCCTGCTTTGTCCCACTCATCCAGGCAGAATTCAAGGCCGTCTTCCGCTCTCAGCCTCCCTTCCCTTTATTCCAGTCCAGGAAAGGAACCCAACTTGGCTTCCATCACCTCCACTTTGTAGGCTGGCATGCAGTTGGATTTTTTCTTTTTTCAACTTAATTTTTATTTCTATTGTACTTGTATTATTTAAAAAGTCAAATAGCTGGCTTGCAGGAGACATCATGTAAAATATGGTGTATCAATCCTCTGCCCCGCCCCTCCCTGGTCTCAGTTCTCACTTCCAAAGACACCCACTCTTTTGCACATTTCAGATGGCACGTTTGTCATATGTCTCCTTATTTTTAAATAACACTTCTAATCCAGATTTCCTACTTTTTAAGACATTATCTGTCACCTCCCTGCTATGGAAGATGAAGACTTACTGCCGTTCCGCCTAACCTCTTTTATCGCACACGTTTTCCCTCCTCTCCCCCGTTCAGGTAGACTGTTTCGTTGCTGTGCCATCAGTATTCGCTGTTCAATTGTCATGACTGTGCAAATATTCAAAGACTGGCCTTGAAGTGTGCTGCGATTCTGCTTCCCTTATTGGACAACCTTTGTGCTTTTCCAGAAATATGAATTACCTCATTGATAAAAGAAACCAAAAACCTTCCTGACATACTCATTACTAATTCATCCCCTAAGACACACCAGGTTATCTCTTAGGTCTACCTTTAGGAAAACAATCCCCCACCCCCTGCCCTCTTGGAAGCCTCCACCCTGGGCTCCGATCTGACTGCCTACCCTACAGACCTGCACAGCTGTTGTCCCGGGACTTTGCTCTACCACGATCTTAGGAATTTCCTTTGGCCTCTTTCCTGCGTTGGAGCCAGTTTTCTGGATCCCTTGCCCCCACCCCCCCCCTTGATTTATTTCCTTGTTTTGGCAGAGCATATAGTCCAGTAGCTTTGATTGATGGCTCTGCTGGGTGTAGAATTCTAGATTGGAAATAAAGTGTCCTCAGAATCGTGAGGACATGATTTACGGTTGCCGTTGAAAAGTCGAATGGCATTCTGATACCTAATCTTGTACGTGTGGGCCGATTTTTCTCCCTGGCAGTTTCTAGACTTTTCCAGAGGTCTAAAGTTTCAATATGATGTACATTTACTCTGGGCACTTGGTAGATCTTTTAAGCTGGAAATCAATTTTGGGGACATTTCCTCCATTATGTTTTCAGGTTTTGTTTTTTTTCTATTTTAGTTGACTATTGGGGCTCTTGGAGTGATCTTTTAATTTTTTTAAATGTTTTTTCCAATTTTTAATTTTTAAAAATGTTTGTTCTATTTTCTGGGATATAATCTCAACTTAACCTTCCAATTTTTCTATTAGACTTTTTTTTTAATGTCTCAACTAATAAATTTTCACTTTTAAAAGCAATTTCTTGTTCTTTTTTTGTAGCATCCTGATCTTATTCACAGACACGATACTATCTCCAATATCTCTAAGAATGTTAATTATAGTTGCTTTAATTTTTTTTAAAGATTTCATTTATTTATTTATTTTTAGAGAGAGGAGATGGTAGGGAGAAAGGGAGGGAGAGAAACATTGAAGCGAGCGAGAAACATTGATCGGTTGCCTCTTGTATGCACCCCGACCAGAGACCAAACCTGCAACCCAGGCGTGTGCCCTGACCGGAAGCTGAACCAGCGACCTTTCACTTTGTGGAATGATGCCCAGCCAACTGAGCCACACCGGTCAGGGCTATAGTGGCTTTAATTTTAATGGTGGTAAAATACACAAATAAAAGTTTCCATCTTAACTCTTCTTAATCATACAGTTCCTATTATTAAGTATATTCACATTGTTCTGCAACCCACCTTCAGAACTTTTGCATCTTGCAAAATCAAAACTCTACGTCCATTAAACAACAACTCCCCACTTCTCCCTCTCCCTAGTTTCTGGCAACTTCCATTCAACCCTCTGTCTCCATGAATTTAACCACTGTAGCCATCTCATATAAGTGGAATCACACAATATTTGTCCTTTTGTAGCTGGCCCATTTCA